AGCGACAACCGTGTGCTTGAGGTGCTTGACGCCGCGCGTGGTCGGGTCGCAGAGGAGATCTTTGGTGCTGCGATCACGTTAGTAAACAACTTCCGCGGGGTATCGCGGGGTGCTCACAAGGTGACGGCGATGCCTCCAGTCGCGAGGATGCCCCAGCGGACAGTCTTGGGTAATGTCATGATGTATTTTTTGGTTCTATCGCTTTTCCAAGTGATTGTGTGTCAAACTGAGGAATGAATAGCGCTCCGCAGTGAAGAAGATCGTTTTGTAGCTGTTGAGCGCGACGTCATGACGCCCACTGAAGTTCGGAGAATCCGCCGCGTGAACCCCACTCTTGCTGGGCCGGTGCCTAAGGAGGATAAACTGGCTGTGTAGTGTGACATGACGGATTTAAGGGTGGGATTGCCGGATGTTGCGAATGATGCATAGGACGAAGGCTTGCACTTGCAACACTTGCAACTGTATTTTGAGGAAGTTGGGATGGTCGCCATCGTCCGGAATTGCTGCCAAGCCTTGGAACGACGACATGGGACGACGACTTTTGTTGCTTCTTCCTCCATCGTCTTCCAAGGTTCGTCTCATATCCTACATCACGATTAGTTGTTGCAATTCATGCTCCAGACGCCCCTTCTCCGCACGCGTCGCGGCACTCCTCATCTTCAAACGACCAGCACAACGACGCGTGCGCGACAGTTTTGAGCCGAAACCCACCTTCCTACTCCAGCCACGTCTTCTTCGACACAGCTTCTAGCGCGCAACCTTCTGGCCACTCAGGGAGGCGGCTCCGAAGGCTTTTACACCTCGAAAAGAGGGCAGGCCATTCGTCGAACTTCTCACATCCCTTTCCCCCTGTCGGCTTGCTGAAACGGCACTCTTTGAGGCTGTAGCACTCAACTCTCTATGACGCGTAGTCTCTTTGAAATTGGAAGAGAATGAGATGCACCATGGCCTTGTCGGGCATCTCCGAAAGTTGTTGAGCTGAGATGCGGCATCAGGTGCATAGCTCTCGTTCGCACGTGAATTGCAAGCCTATTTAATCCCCAATAATAAACCACGGCCTACAAACCGGGTCTCACCCAATAACGCGATACAGGTCGAGGCCCTTCGCAGCAAGAGTCCATCTTACCCCAAGAGGTAATCCGCAGCATCCAGAACGGCAGAGGTCAAGGTAGCTTTTTGCGCCAGTCTTAAGATCAAGTCTTCACGTGGCATGAAAACTCAGGGATGCACGCTGCATCTTACGGAGCTTCTAGCGCCACGTCGTCACTGTCTTCGATTAACGATATCGCGGAAAACGTTCGAACGAACGATTCGGGGTGACGATAATATCTCAAACAAGCTATGCTATGGCTTCCTCGTCACTTTCTATAGTCGGCCAATGTTGCAGGATCTAATACTCCTGCTTTTGCCTTGCCATGCGTCTGCCGTCGCTGCTGGCTACAGACACCGTGCCCACGTTAAGCTCTACATGACTCGTTTGACGGGAGATGGGCATATGACTCGGCCCACTTCATGTCGTTAGATCACTTGTCACGAACATAGTCGGGTCGAAAAGGGGATCCCGGAGTTTAGTGAATGGTGGGGAGCCCATGGGGTCGAGCGACGTTAGAAGCGGGTGTTGCATTAGCCCATCCGCTAATAATCAAGAGCAGGCTATTGCGGGATGAGCTTAACAAGCTCACACTAATGACAACCGGCATCAAAGCTCTTATGATGGCTTAGAGTGTCGCGGATAGCCCTGCGCCGCCTGCGCGACCGCCACCTGGTGGCAGGCATCATGACGGGCCATGGATGTACGAGCTGCGCTCACGATGAAATAGTCGAGACTTCTCTCGGATTTACCTAAATGGCCCTATTATTGTTGCTTACTCGCCGAAGTTGCCACGAGCAAACCCTCACTAGCATATGCATAGCTCCAATGAATGCTATCACTTCACACGCGAGGAGCTAAAATCGCCGAGCTTAGGTTCGTGGGGACCCCTCAATCTTAAGTTCAGTTATCGGAGCATAAATACTGTTCCCTGCCCTTGACTGCTCACAAGCCGCAAATTTTGCTCAAGCTCTCTCCGGCATCATGGCTAGCCAGAACGACTACGATGGCAAAGATCGTATTGAGCATCACGATGTGTACGCACTCACTCTGAACATTTACGCACGGGACTGACGCATTGCAGTACCTCCGAGGAGCGCGGTGTCGTCAACACTGGCAACAGTGTTTCGGCAAAGTGAGTCTGGATTGAACTACCATACCAAGTACAACGCTGACAAGACCTACCAGGATTCAGAACCCGTTGATTCATATGACCGAAGATGAGATGCTCCGGGACGTCGATAGCTTCGCCAACGAGAACGGTTTCGTCGAAGAACAGCCTCTTCTACGCAAAGCGGCTCTCGTCGCCCGCGATCCCGTCAACTATGCCGCCGTACCGGGTATCACTGAGGAGGAGAAAGATGCGATCGCCAATGAAGTCCTACACAAGTGGCGTCAGCCCAAGATCCTCTACTTTACTATCATTCTTTGCTCCGTCGGTGCTGCCGTACAGGGCTGGGATCAGACTGGATCGAATGGTGCCAACTTGTCCTTCCCTGATGCGCTCGGCATCCCAGTGAGGGCGACCCTTCCAGACGGCACCCCGAACCCCAACGCGGAGCATAATCAGTGGCTTCAAGGCTTGATAAATGCTGGTCCGTACATTGCTTCGGCCTTCATGTGAATGAGCACATCTTGGATCAGGGTGCAGCGGCTAATGTGTTACAGTGGATGCTGGTGCTCTGACCCTCTGAATCAGTTCTTCGGTCGTCGTGGGTGCATCTTTATCTCCGCCATATTCTGCGCTCTGTCTCCAATCGGCTCTGCTTTCTCTCAAAGTACGTCTATGCGCCGCTAACCTGCGATGTGACTTGCTAACCACGCTTCTAGCCTGGGAGCAGCTCTTCATCACTCGTCTTCTGCTTGGTCTCGGTATGGGATGCAAAGGAGCATCCATTCCCATCTTCGCTGCCGAGAACGCCCGTAAGTATTGTTACTCAGTCGCCTCGGAGCTCTCCACTGACATTAATTCCAGCCGCCAGTATTCGTGGTGCCCTCGTCATGACATGGCAGTTGTGGACTGCCTTTGGTATCTTCCTCGGTACTGTCGCCAATCTAGCTGTCAAAGACACCGGAAAAATCTCGTGGCGCCTACAGTTTGGATCTGCCCTGCTACCTGCACTCCCACTCCTGGTTGGCGTATTCTTCTGTCCTGAGAGCCCTCGCTGGTACATCAAGAAGGGCAAGTACGCCCAGGCGTTCCGCTCGCTCAAGCGCCTCCGAAACAACGACATTCAGGCTGCGCGAGACCTATACTATATACACGCTCAGCTGCGCGCGGAGAGCAGCTTCACTTCGGTTAATACAAACTTTGCGTCTCGCTTCATCCAGCTCTTCACCGTGCCTCGACTCCGCAGAGCTACCGTCGCATCAGGGGTGGTCATGATTGCTCAACAGATGTGCGGAAGTAAGTACATTGGGTCTCATGCAACGTGCGAGGCTAATCAGAATTAGTCAACATCATCGCCTTCTACTCAAGCACAATCTTCGAGTTGGCTGGTGCGAGCGTCACAACGTCTCTCGTCGCATCCATGGGCTTCGGTCTGGTTAACTTCGTCTTCGCTTTCCCCGCGCTATGGACTATTGACACTTTCGGCCGCCGAACGCTTCTCCTCTTCACCTTCCCGCAAATGGCTTGGACCTTACTTGCGGCTGGCCTCTGTTACCTGATTCCGCAGAGCAGCTCCGCCCACATCGGTCTGGTCGCCCTCTTCGTCTATCTCGTAGGTTACCAAAGTCATGTTATTGTCCTCTTCACGCTACTAACCAGTCGATAGTTTGGCGCATGGTACTCGCCCGGCGAAGGTCCTGTCCCCTTTACCTACTCCGCTGAGGTCTTCCCGCTCTCCCATCGCGAAGTCGGCATGTCCTGGGCCGTCGCAACCTGCCTCTTCTGGGCTGCCGTACTCTCCATTACCTTCCCTCGCATGCTCAGCGCCATGACACCTACCGGTGCTTTTAGCTTTTACGCTGGTCTGAACCTCATCGCACTCTGTTTGATATTCCTCTTCGTGCCTGAGACCAAACAGCGTTCGCTCGAGGAGCTTGACTACGTCTTCGCCATCCCAACACGACGGTTCATCAGCCACCAGTGTGGTACCGTGCTTCCGTGGTGGGTCAAGACCTGGATCCTGCGGAAGAAGATCGGTCCGTGCCCGTCACTCGTCACATTCGAGGGCGGCGGTGAGAACGACGCGAATCTCCAAGAGCAGGTGCGTAAGGCTAGTTTTGCTGCGCAGGGTGGGGAGAATGAGAAGATCAAGTATTAGCCTTGAGAGATCATCACGTTGGGGACTGACGAATGATGGTATGGGTGTGCATCGGGGTATAATACGATTATAGTCAACGGGACGCTATAATACCGGCTTGAAGGAACCACTTTACGGGCAATTGATCGTCGTCCAATATCTCCCTTGACTGTCCAATTGTGGGGCCTCTCGTATCAGAAGCCGTGAATAAATCCAACTGTCCGCTGAGTAGCACTAGTTTTTGATAAGAATTACTCTAGATCCGTTATGCCTTGTCATGCTCGGTATCGGATTATATGCCCCGTTCACATTTTGCTTGTGTTAAGGGCTTCCAACGAAAAGCGATTTATGATCCTCTTCCGTAGCGCGTGTTACAAGTAGTCTTGCGTAAATTCAGCCTTGCGAGGGGTTTTTACTACGAGGGTGCCGTGTTTGTCAATAGATAGAAGAAAGGAGGTCAATGAATGGCATTAACCACTAGAGAAGGAAGATGTGACCCATATTCTCTTTGAGTAGCACATCAACGGGTAGCAAAGAAAAAGACATGTTGTCCTTCCCTCACGGCTGAAAGGTGATCGTGAGCTGCATCTAGAAGGGAGACGTGGTGAGCGCGCTCGCTTAGCGCAAGATTAGCATTTCGCATAAAAAGGCAAAAAGAAAGCTTCCAAAACGGGGAATCGAACCCCGGCCTTGCCGGCACTACAGTTGCTCTGATGAGAGCGGCAAATCCTAGCCACTAGACCATTTTGGAGATTGATGGAAGAAATTGCAAATTACGTCAGTTATAATGTGCAGTTTAAAGTTTCAATGACGCTGAGGTGGGGTGCAAAAGCCTAAGCTCCCCAAACTAGTACACCCCACCATATCCACGTACTAATGCACTTCCAAAAACACATGCAGAGACACTTTGTATTTTATGTGTTATCTTAGAGGCTCAAAACGCCGGGAAAGCTGTCTAATCATCCCAAAAGGATAAGAGGAAAGCATTAAAGCCACCCATATAGAATATCAAGCACAAGAAACAGGTGGTGGTGATGCGTTGCATCACCAGCCCCACCCGTCACCACACGCCGTGGCCGCAGCGTCAAGTTAGCAGGTAAATGCAAGTAGATCAAGTCAGTTGCACATATTAATTGAGTACTCTACTGTAAAATCTCGTGATAATAGCTATTGTAGGTGGCTCTATAGCCTCATTTTTGGTTGAGCTGTTATTGTGCTCCCCACGCATCACGCGCACGGACACGGTATAGTCGAATGCAAGCGCCCAAAAAGGCCAGAATATGCCAACAACCTTGTTCGATCGAGTTTACGGGGAGGAATCTATAATCAAGCATGTCTCTGCTATGAGCGGCCTCGGATATACTGTAACACCGCCCCTCCACAATACTACAAGGCGGAGAACAAAGCCACGGCACAAGGCGGCCATCGATATCTTCCAAAGGACGCACTCAGCATTTTAGGCCATCCGAGACATTTAATAGATGTAGCTGCGACTGGAGAGTATACCTCAAGGTTTATCCGTGTGCTACGACTCATCTTTGTCGCCTCCGCTTGGTTCGCGCATGCCGCTTCGGCGCTCCTCTCATTCAGTCCGCGTATCTCTTTATTAAGAATGTTAGTCTGGATGTTGAGTTTGTGGGTCCGCTTGTCTAGGCCGAAGACTTCCATGTTAAGTACGTTGCTCTCTTGATTCAATCGATAGCTCTAGACGTTCAGCTCGTTCGTCCTTTTGCTCATGCCATGACTTTCCGTATTCAGTCTCTGACTTTCTTGATTCAGCTGATTGCTTTGGACAGTCAAGCGATTGCTTTTGAGACTGAGGATGCGCCCCAGCTAACATCTTTAGCTTTAATCATCACCGGTGAACGTGACGTTTGACTTACATGAGTTGCAAATCGTTTGCAGGAATCATCGAGTGAAATCAGTCTCAGGGAAAGGTCAGTAAACTTCTCGAATGACTCTACGATACTGTTTTGTACAAAGTAATCCGTGATGTCTGAGAAGTAGCAGATATCCCCACCAGGTTTTTCGAATTGACGTAACAACTGCGTGGTTTGAATTGTCTAGTCCAGTGACTTCTGAAAATTGTTTGCGTCTAAGCATGAATGGCCAGTGTTATTGCTGCATGGGTCATGTGCTTTCTGGTTATTTTAGTTGACATGCCTCTTAATGCTTGACAACCTGACTTACCCAAGATTACACACCTTGATCTAATACCTTTGTAGGATATCGCTACGGTCCGGGCTGAACAGTAAATAAAATGCTCTAGGTGTCCTCGCCTGCATTCGCGTGTTTTATAATGCTGCTTTGTAAATAGCTGGTTGCTACGATGCAGCATTACTAGGCCGCGGACAGGAGGTAGTAGCTGATCCTTCGAATGTGGCAGCTTCCTTGCGACCATACAAGTTCTGCCGAGTAGAGAAGCTCGTGTACCTGAGTTGGCGAGTGGAGAAGCTCGGCGTCCGTCATCCCGACGAACGACCAAAGCTCAAGCTTCCAGTAGGTACCCTCATCATCATTACAAAACCACCCCCTCCAATCGAGGATCGAGGCACTATTGTTACTAAGCAAACTAAACCCATAATCATGATGATTCTCGGTCCCCTCCTCTCCCTCGTCCTCGCAACCTCCACCACCGCCTCGCAATCTCCCATCGCCGATCCCACCGTCCTCGAACCCTCCACCTCCAAAGAACTGCTCCACCTCCACCGCAGCCTCATTGAGATAGAATCCATCACCTCCAACGAAGCCCACGTTGGGAAATGGCTCTCCTCCTACCTCCGCGCCAAAAACTGGACCGTGGAAACGCAAAAAGTGTCCGAGAACCGGTATAACCTGCTTGCGTACGGCAGCAAGCGCGAGACGACGATATTACTGAGTTCGCACATCGATACTGTACCGCCGTACTGGCCGTACTACTACAATGAGACGAGTGGGGTGATTGGGGGGAGGGGCAGTGTGGATGCCAAGGGGAGTGTTGCGGCGATGATCATGGCTACAGAGGGGTTGAAGGGAAAGCTTCAGGACGATATATCGCTGTTGTTTGTCGTGGGCGAGGAGACAGGCGGCGACGGTATGCGTGCGTTCAGTTCGTGGTCTAAACGCCCGTCCTCGCACGAGATTATCATCTTCGGCGAGCCTACCGAGGGGAAATTGGTCTGTGGGCATAAGGGCATGCTGGGCTTTGCGCTCAAGGCCACGGGGAAGGCGGCGCACTCGGGATATCCGTGGTTGGGCGTGAGCGCGAATGATGTGCTTGTGGAGGCGCTGGGCGAGCTGCTCAAGTTGAGGGAGCATTTGCCGTGGAGCACAAAGTACGGGAATACTACTATGAACGTTGGCAGGATACAGGGCGGTGTCGCAGCGAACGTTGTTGCTGAAACCGCGTCCGCGAATATCGCGATCCGCCTCGCAGCCGGGACACCGGATCTCGTCCGCGGACAGATCATCGATGCGCTCGAGGAGGTCAAGGCCGCTGCGAAGAAACAAGGCGGGGATCTGAATATCGAGTGGGCGAGCGAAGGGTACCCGCCCGTGGATATCGATTGCGCCATCGACGGTTTCGAGAACATGACCGTAAACTACGGAACAGACGTGCCGCTGCTAAGTGGCCATCACAGGAGGTACCTATACGGGCCCGGCAGTATCTTCGTCGCGCACTCAGACCACGAAGCGCTGCAGCGCAAGGAGCTCGAAGAAGCCGTCCTCGACTACCGCCGCCTCATCCTTAAGGCCACAGAAGTCAGATCCAAAGAGCAACAGGGTGAGAGCGAAGAACAGGTTGAATTGTAGATACTGTATATAGCCATACGTCCATATACCGCCATCGTTATTCGTAAATAGTATTTGATGTACCCCCACATTTAGTCTACCAGGAGAAGAGTCTCGCTCAAAACAGGCAGGTCTGAAAGCGAGTGCTTAGTGCCGCCTCTTCCCTAGTCGTGAAACTGGGTAGATGGCAGCGGCGATTGTTCTAGCGCATTTAACCCTTATAAACAAGGGACAGAGCGTCGCAGCAATGGAAATGGAAATGCTGGACGTCTGTGGTTCTGTTCGTTGCGCGTGTTGAAGTGGAGATGGAAGAAAGGCCAGATGAACTTTCAAGTGAGGGCGGAAAATTGTTGCGCCGGTGAGCTATGGTAAGAATATGATTTGAGGTGAAGGAGGAAAGAGCGACCGCGCTATGCATTTTCACTTAGCCAACGCTCATGCTGTCCAACGCCGATGATGCTAGCGTCTCATATCATACACGCAATATACATTTACAACGACGTGATTGTCTCAACTAGCGATAGCTGGGACATCGTCTTCCTTCTGCGCAATGCCCTCAGCCTCCTCCGCTGCCTTTGCCGCCTCAGACATACCCAGGTCTCTAAACTGCCAGCCATCGTTCTCCTTGACCCACTCTTTCTTTTCACCAAGGATAGCCACGCTGCTTTCCCCGGCGCGCTTAACGAGGAACTCGTCAGCGACGGCTTGTACCTGCTCAGCTGTGACATCGAGCAGACGCTCTCGCCGCGTTTGTAGCATGTCGTCCGTGACACCCGACAGGAACAGTCGCATACCCTCACGACTCACACTTTGCGGCGCATCGTAGCCCTGGAAAGCGCTGAGCTTCGCCTCCTCTAGATCCTGAGCTGTCCACGCACGATCACGCGCCCACTGTCCAGCTTCGGCCATGACTTTCATGCTGTTCTGCGGGTTCGGATCGCGGTACGAGTACATGCCAAACAGACCACCGAGACCACGTGCATATGCACCGCCGCCATATGCACCGCCCTTCTCGCGGATCTCAGGATGCAGTTGCTTGAACGTGAGGAGCTTGGCGAGTATCTCGAGCGGCGCGCTGGAGGCGTTGGTGTAGGATACCGTTGGCACGGCGCGGGCAGAGTAGTACACTTGGTAGGGTAGAGGGAAGAAGGATTTCGCGTTGCGAGGGTATTGCTTTTGTTGCGATGTTGTCGGGACGGAGACGTTCTTAGGTAAGGTGTTCAAGAAGCGATGTAGTGCTTCCTGGTTGGGTGTTGAGCTCTCGTTGCCGCAGTTAAGGGCTACGCGGAGCTGGTTGCTGTTCGCGATGGTGAAGGACTGTATCGCCTTGAGTTTCTGGATGACGTCGCTGAGCGACTCTTGCGATGCCAAAGCTGTCATGACTTTGACCTGTGTGAGACCTCCGGTTTCTTCTGCCATTCGACCCACTGGACTTATGCCAGCCTCTGCGTATCTCATGGCATAAGAATGACCAGACTCAGCAATGGAGTTTATAGCGCCACTTGCTGAGCTTTGTAGCAGCTCTCGGATCTTCTTCTCGGCTTCTGGCCCATTGAAGTCCGTCTCCTGGATGATTGTCCGGAGAAGCTCATACATGTCAGGGATGTTGCGGTCGAAGGCATAGCCTGAGAAAGCCAGACCCTCTTCGTAAGTATCGAGTGACAGTGGCGACTGCGATGAGTGATAGCCCACCGAGATACCGCCCGTCTTCAACTTGATTAGCTCCTCGAGTTGCTCCATTGTCTTGTCCTTGGTGCCAAGACGCATGATCGCGCTTGTGAATAGTGGTATCATCTCTCTCAGTTCGTCAGGAAGATCTTGCAGCTTGTGCACAGCGCGGAAGTACGTCAGACCATTTGTAGGTGCCTCGCGCCACTGCACCTTCACGCCATCAAGGTCGGTGTGCCGGAGTGGTTTCCTTTCCTTTTCCCGTGGGATATCCTTGACGTGAACGGTGGGTAGGCAGCTCAGATCTTCGTT